GTAGTAGTAGTAGTAGTAGTAGTAGTAGTAGTAGTAGTAGTAGTAGTAGTAGTAGTAGTAGTATTAACGCGAGAATGGGTGTTAGCGACTTTCATTATAGTTTCAGCATTCCTGGTTATTCCTAGAATCGAAATGACGAGGTACGAATGGTTTATTTGCTCCTTCTTTCTGAACGGAAACGTTTTGCATGTCGAATAGTTTTATTTTCTGGGCGTGCTGCTCTGTCCTGCGCACAGTCATAAAAACAGACTCTCGGTGCCACGTAATGGTCCGAACGTGCCAGCGGCGAAGTAAAGAGGCAAAGCGAGAATGAAAGGCCGGTTTCTACGTCTCTATTCAAGAAGCCCTCGCGCATTCAATGTCATACTTAATACAGGGTTATTATATCGTTAATGCGTCGATATATAGTGCGCATGTCACCGAGGAGATTATAATTCAGATAACTAAGAGAGTATTTAACGGTAATAAATTGATCATTTTCTAAATCTCGAATCTCCGTTCACCTTGCTTCATAAATAATAGCAGGGCGAATAAACCTGTAATAATGCAACCACGGACAGAGTATAACGCTTAAATTACAGCAAATATCTTTGTCTTAATAAAAAAAATTATTTGCCGAAAAATGAACATGAAAATTCCTTTTGCTAATTAATTGTATGAACTCTAAGACTGAAAATTCGACCGAAAATCTTCCTCTTGAAGCTCCTGTGTAAAGCAGGGCAGTGCGATTCGGTAAATAATGTTTGATAGCGGGGCGTTAAAGAGTTGGAGATTCTGAACTTATTAGAAACGTTTTCAACTACCCTCCAATCATAGAATGAGGAAGAAGTCATTTCCATGGTTGATATCGACCCCCTGGGGTCGATAGTTTAATTTTAAACATGAAGTGAAAATGGATGTGATACGAACATGATACGTAGAAATAAATATGTTTATTCTGAGTACTTAAAGTAAATTGCTGGAAGATGACAACTTTTAACATAATTTTACAAACTGACTGCCAGAAAAATATTTAGAAAATTCAGGTATAGAGGGTTCAAATTGGAGTCGCTGACAATTCTTTATACCTCAACATATATTGTCAAAAAACCACATTTAGGCTAAACAGTGCCAATGCACCATCCTGCTGAATCACATGTGCTTCATGTCTCCTCTCAATTATATTACCATATATCACCACTTCCCGAACATGAATGTACATTTGTTTCATTGCAATGCCTTTTCCCAAAGAAACTCTTGTCTGAAATCATTGCCTAAGCCCTTTCCAAAACCGGTATTGACCATGTAATGTGTTATTTGGAATTTTATAATCTTACTTTGATCTACTTTAGAGAAATAATTTGGATACATGTTTGAGAAAATTTCTACAATTTCCGTTTGAAAGTGTGCCCAAAAATAAAAAATATATTTCAAATTTGAAGGGCTGCAGCATCACCCAGATAGATTAGGAAATATCAATTTTGGTTAAGGTTCTGAATAATTCTGGTTCTGATAAAATTCTGGATAAGGTTTAGTGTTAGTGTTTTCCAAATACCATCAGACTTTCTGAGGAAACATTTTTTTGGTATCAAGGACAAAAACCGTGGATTTTCATTTTACATGTAAAACAAAGTAATACATACTTACTACTTACTGGAAGGGAAAAAATTTTATTTTTCAGTGTGACATCAGGAATACACAAAAGGAGGTTGTCGAAAAATCAGCAATTTTTTTTGCAGTGTTACAAAACTGAAGTATTAGAAAAATGCAATAAAATAAAAATCACAATACAGAAAATCAAAAGTAGTACTTCATGATTTATGCCCACCGAAAAATGGCAAGACACTAGGACCAAACTGCACAATCAATCAACCCATGAGCCTAAGCAAGTGAGTAATAATATTGCTTATAGCAAAGAAAATACTTTGAGTGAGCAAGAAAGTAGTATACAGCATGATATGAGCAAGTATGAGTGAACGGATGAAATAGAAATTATGCATGTAAGGATGCACGAGATTGTTTTAGCTCAGGGTTTTCCAATTGGCAGTCAGCAGTGCCATTTCCTGCAGCTGGTAAAAGCAAAAATTGAAAGACCCTTGCTTTCAGGTTGAGCAAAAACACCCCCTTAATATAAAAATAGCTAAAAAGTATCGATGTAACAATTATCTTTACCAGTAAATTCAGAAATTCAAAATTATCCCAATGTGTTTGCCTGCATTATGTATGGCACTGACTGTTATCAAGTATGGTTTCACCCCCCTCTTCAGATCACCTGGGCAATCTACCAGGATATACAATAATGAGTAGTAAGGTGTAGATCACATAAATAATGGACCGCAACCATATTGAAATTTTTGTTGTGGGTCTTGAGGTCTCGCGAGTTGGTCACCCCTGATTTAGCGTATACATGTGTTGGAGAAAAATCGTTTGCGAAAGTAAGCCACGTTCAACGGGAGCGGGAGCGAGAGCGAGCGTTCGCGGGACCGAGATTGGGATTGAGCGTTCGCGGGAGCGAGAATGGGATTGAGCGTTCGCGGGAGCGACTGCGAACAAAAGTGTTTGAGCCGGTCCGGATGGCCGAGATCGCTAAGGCAGTAGTGCCATAGCGATCACGGACGGAAAGGTCGCAGGTTCGAGTCCCGCCTCGGGGATGGTTGTATTGTGTTCGTCCTTTCACACCCCTATCATAATCATCATCATATCGTGTCATCCTCGTAGTTACCATACCGTTACGAGCAATAGTAGTCGCTAATGACCTAGTAGTTGATGCGACCTTAAATAACAAAAAAGGAGTGTTTGCCTTTGGTACGTTTTTTGTCTTCCCGTTCATTCGGGATATGCATTATTCGCATTATGCATTAGTTTTAAAACTATCTACAACAATTTCGCGACACCTTCAAGACAGCATCAGTCCGAGAATACATATTTTATTAATCAAATGGATGTAAGCAAACAGGCCATAAATATCGAATTTCAAAACACCCACATTCTTCCCTTTCATTAAGCTTTTAATGTAAGTCACAATAGACAAAATTTCAATAATAGAATTATGTAAATAATATTTCTTACAAAGACAGTACTTAAATGTATTTTCTTGCATGCTTGCTACTTCAATACATTAATATCATATGAATATTCATATGTTGATAGAATTACAAAATAAGAGGGAAACATAAAATAGCCTTGGACAAGAGGTCACATAATCAATTTGAAGTTCTCTCAAAAATTTGATTTTTAAATTTTAAAAGTTTTCTACCACTAAAATAATAATAATAATAATAATAATAATAATAATAATAATAATAATAATAATTAATTATCCTGAAATAATTATTTTCTATTGGAATAGTTCATTTCATCCAGAGACATAACATTATCATGAGCCTATTCACCAAACAACCTAATTCATAAGTTTCAAAATAAAAGTTTCTTAGACGAATATTTCTGAAAATAGCCTTTCACAAAAAATTATATGAATGTAAAACTCAAGCAAAATATTTAAAATGGTATTTTACTTCCGACTTTCTTTTAATATTTTTCATTCCATGATGTTCTCTATCTCTACCGTATCTTATTTTTTTTATCTGCAAATGGAATATAATTTAATATTACAATAATAATGGATCCCTTGATCAGAAAGTTGACATGAATATAAATATTTATTGATGAACGTATCAAGTATTCTAATTTCCAAGCATCAAATTGGGATAAGTTACACATCCTCCGAAAAAGGGACACGTTATACTGATACTTACTTGGTGGAGAGTTTCATCAAAGCTCGAGCAATTATATTTAGTTCAACAAACGCAAGAGGAAAGATCCCAATGCGATCTCCTAATCGACCCTCTGCCCAATTTTCATCAATTCGTCGAAGAACAGTGATAACTTCACCCTGAAATAAATAATTAGAAATACTATTATAATATTTATCAGAACTTACTTCACACAGAAATTAAAATATTAAACCTTTACAGTAAGAAAGCAAAACAAAGGTTTAATGTCAATTGTATCTTACAGTATTACAGTTACGGGCAACCAATTATTTTTCGTATTTTTGTCCAGCAGTCTATTCCAACAATATTCATTGTTAGAATAGATTCTTTCATCTTCATATCTAGTAACGCCAAGTGAGAGTTTTCCCATCTATATTAATATTTCACATTTTCTTGAACATAGTAACTGTTATAATTCTCACAATGAAGTCACATACCAATTAAGGTTTGTTTGATTTAGTGCAGTCTTAGCGTGTTATCCTAATACCATCATGCCCAAATCTATCACTTTCATATACTCTAATATTAAGCAGGTAAAAATAATTTTTAATCTTTAAAATATATTCAAGAACATACTGTTTTCACAACAAAGCAACTCTTAAAAGAGTCCTACTACTCTATAATAACTCAAAATTTTTTCGAATTTTTTTTTTTCTTTTCTTTTACACAGCAAATTTTTCCTACAATTAAGACAAGTTATAATATTAAACATTAACACTTTAAAATAATCAGTACACTATCATACCTTGTTAAAAGTTAAACATCCTTCATCGTCATCATTTGTCATGCGAAAATCATACAGTGCTTTACATTGAGGAATTTGATTCGGTAATGGTGTTATAACCTAAAAAGACAATTCAAAAAATTGAACAACCTTAAACTGGGTGCACTGCGTAAATGCTCAATATTTTCTTAGAATAGAATTAGAAGGCAATGAATGTCCAACTTCTAAAAAACTAATGAAGCAATACTTTATATTAATACATGACACACGTAGTAAGGCTTTCTACAGTTCTTTATTTTAATAAAAATGAATACATACCTGAACATAAGTGAGTGGAAATGCCCCAAAGTGACCACCAGTTTCCCCTTGGTACCAATTTGTGTCTATCTTTTTGCGAAGCAAGATCATGTCTCCTTTTTTGAAACTCAGATCTCTGAAATTAATAGCACAACTTATTCAATAAAAAACCTAAACTTGTGAATATAAAAATTAAAAAAAAATCAACTCTAAACATCTCACTGAAGTTAACTTCTAGCAAAGAGGGACACATTTTTGGTAGCATTAATTCAGCGCAAATACGGTGGATAATTATAATAATAATAATAATAATAATAATAATAATCTATAAACAAGAAGTAATATCTAAAAATTAAAGTGAAGGCGACTACACACATCATGAGAGGTGATGACTAGCCTTTCATAAATTCATTCTTTGAGAAATAAAGTAACAAATCATATTTTATAACTAAAAGTAAGTTCTCTATCAGAATTTAGTATTCTTAGTCCCTTGGCTTAAAACCACAAAAAATTGGTACGTGATAGATATTTGAAGACTAGCAAGCAAGTAGGAGGGCATTTACCAATATAAAAATTGGGTATTTATGTAGGGAGACAGTATAACATTGCTGAAGAAACAATTTAGTAACAAATAATAAACAAGATAAATTTAGGTCTTTGATATTACCATTATTTGTACTTTTCAAAAAGGATGAAATGGTACATAATATTCGAAACTAATCAGTTCGAATTCTTGATAATCAATAAATACTTTGACATTTTTAAATTTAAAGACAAATTGCAAAAGAATGTATTATTGAGAGATAAATGCTTCCTTTCTGGTATGTACAGCAGAATTCAGGAAGATTTGAAAGGAAGTGAAAATGTAGTATACTATAATACTAAATTAAAAACATGCATACACATCACCATCACTACTAACAAAGATAAGGATAGCATGAATAGTCTTGAAGAGAATACTATTAACAGAATACTCCCAAAATATCAAATCAAAGCAAAAGTAAGTAATCATATCTTTTAAACAAAACTATCTACAATGCAAACAATTTGTACTACAGCTATCCTTCAGACAGAAATAGTATTTACAAAGCACAAACATATGCTTAAATTTTTAATGACAGATCAATATACTGAATGCAATTTTAAGTAAAAATACCCACTATGAAAATTCAGATATGAAAATCAATTGAAAAAGAATTTAAGAAAACAAAAACAAAACATTTTTCCTTTTAAGTGGCATTTTTGGAAAAGGTTACTAAAGCCTGATATTTAATATTTGATGGGATTTATATACATTTCTCCTTGCATTAATATTAAAAAACTTTCCAATGTATTCTTCTTAAAATTCCAACTTCCAATGAAAATTAAAACAAAAGTTAAAAACTACAAATATTCCACAGAAAAAGAGAATGATAGAAAGCAGACTGAAATTAATATTGAAATTAAGACAGAACTTTAAAACTTTGTGAATTTTAAGAGCAAGTACAGCTGACAGAGCATTTTAAGAAGGTAACTTCACAATAATATTAAAAATACTTTTGTACCTTTCTTGAATATCATTTCAAGGAAATAATAATTACAATACTCATTCATATTACTCACCCTGGTTCTTTGGCAATATAATCATAAATGGCACGTGCACATGGCTGAGGAGGCTGGATCTGTTTAGGGCATGGATGAACAAGAGGAGTCATCTGCTGCTGAGGGGGAGGCAGCATTTGCTGAGAAGGAACAGGTGCCACGCTGCCTCCCTGCAGCCTGTTAGGTCCTGGGCTTCTTTTCTTAGGAGCGGCATTGCGCATACCCTCCAGGATACGCATAAGCAATACATTTGGTGGCAGTTCATCAATCTTAGCATCCACAAGAACACGACACTCTGGACATCGCAATTCTTTGTGTGTACTAACAATCTCTTCCAGGCACTTTTTACAAAATGTATGCTGACATGGTAGAACTTTACTTGAAGTATCCAATCTTTCCAAACAAACAGAGCATTCAAGCAAGTCATTCAAAGTCCATTCATCCATGATGACAGGTGTTGCTATTTATCCCAGATTCCAGAAATCTCACATAACAGCACACAGAACATTCATGGTTTTGTTTATTCTTAATGAATCAATCAGATGAACATGTTCCATTCTTAACCAGAAAAATACATGCCCTACAAAAAAAGCAGAAGGAAAATGAAAATTTGGATCACCATTTACGAAAATTGTAACTAGTACATTAGTATACCTTATATTAACAAGAAATTTCACGTAAATAAACATAAAAGTTGTGGGTGTACGTCAGAAATAAGATAATAAATGTAACACAGTTTATTTATAACTATCTCGTCATATTTCCACGCTGCGATTCGTGTAATATACAAAAAACGCTACCAGGATCCGTCCACTATTTCTTCTTCAAAGAAATTCTATTCTACTGTCATCACCCGCTGTGTGATCCATGCACTTGTTATTCATCGTGGGAGCACTATTTGGATACTTCACCTTCCTTTGATTCAGTAACGCACAGGAAATCATGTACAATAATGAGAGCATTTTCACTCTCGTTCACTCATCCTATAGCCAACTAAGTACATCACGCACTTTCGCCGTTTCATCGCGCTCCCAACCATATTTCCGGGAAGTCTCATGAGAACTCATAAAGGTGTAAACATAACCCATAGCGATTGAAGTTTAAGAATGAAGTTGTGATATAATTATAAATATAGAAATTCCTGCAGAAGTTATTCTCACCGGAAATAAAATAACAATTGGTCGCATTCTGAACGAAGCACAAAACTAGTTTTAGATAGTGTTTCACACAAACACAACAAAATAATGAAAGAAATAACAATACGAACTACCACCTCACAGCCATAATCGGATGAATCAATCACTTCAGTGTCTGCCATCACCATTTCCGGCTTTCCGCTAGCAGGTGTAGATCCCATTTTGTTCTCGCCCTGAGCTATTACTCATTGGGATGCTGAAAAGATTCGCTATGACGATTCAATAATCATTAAATCAATACGATACATCCGAGTATTTGTATTGAAAATTATGCACAGCAACTTTGTTCATCATAGCCCTGGCATTTCTGATCCTCGGAATAGAAAAAAGGACATCTCTGCGGATTGATACACAGTTTCACAGCGGTCCACAGGACAGAACAGCAGGTTCAGGAGGTCTGTGACCACCCGTGACGGACGTCAAATAAGTAATTGTAGGTTTGAATGCCAATGCTGGGCATACCAAATAAGAAAGGCTCTGCGCTACTTGGTAGAAAAAAAACTTAGCTTTGAAATTGCACGGCTATCGATGGTTTGCGCTGTTCGGTACCGCGTCAAAAATACTTGTCAATATCCGAAAGACGTATTTCAATTCGGAATTACAAATTATCTTTTATTTTTTTTTACATTGTTTGCCCGGTTTATTTCCACTCTGCCTGTCATAACTAAACCGTAATTCATTGCTTTATCCTGGAAATGTCCTAATACGTTTACTAGAACAATAGTAACATTCTTGAACTGGTATCATCAAAAAACGTTATTACCTGTAAAACCCATGAAATTAAACCAATTGCGTGTATGGGTATTCAGAGATACATCTTAACAAATAGCCTGTTTGTTAGACAGCTTTATTACAGTAAAGGGTTGCAAATGACACTCCAAAATATATTGAATAACTATAACAAATACATGTGTTCACTTAAAAATTCCAAATATTTATTAATACTCACTTCCAGAATAAAATATTCATAATATTTTATATTTTACTTCAAGACTACAGACAAAAGTTATATTACACATAAAAAGCCATAATTAAATCCAAAAATACATTCAAAAGAACAGAACGAGAAACATCAAGAAATTGAGAACACTTCTTTTAAGATTTTCTTCTTTACCTCGTACGCACTACTGTAATGTATAATATATTGTTAACTCTACAGTGATACTTATTGCACTTGGCAGAACTAATTGCACATTTTTATATGGATAAAGCAGTTGTGGCAGAGACTTGAATGATCACAAATTGTGGTCTGCACTTAAGCCCCAATTGATGTGCTCTGTTAGAAAGCATTTCACAAGTATAATTTTTTGGGGGGATGGTTGCGTATAAAGTTCATTTCACTGTTCTTGTGGTGTCCCTGTCCAAGTGATTAAACATGGGCATATTGCTTACACCCTTCCCCCAACACAAAAACAACAAGTGCATACACTAGTTTTAGAAATGCTGCCGACCTCAAAAAAATTTCATCCTTTGAAAATTCAGACTTGTTTCTTAGCATTCAAAATCGCATAAAACCAATGCTCTTCTTCAGTAATACTGACTTTTCATTTCATAATGAATCTCAAAATCAACATAATGTTCTCTTTGGACAGGGCACTCGCATAACCTTCAATTTTTATTTTCTACAAACTATCAATAATTGCAGCAGACATGAGGGTAAAGAGTTTGTGACAGCCATGCTACACATTTTTACCTGTATGCTAGAATGTTTAAGAAATGCACATGCATTTTTTTTTTACATAAGGCTATTTACAACATTCATTACCGTCTGACAGCACAAAACATTCAGTTCAGATGGGGAAAACTTTTAATAAAAATTAGCAAATTGCCTCTGGCAAGTGATGAATTTAAAATACTCCCCATAAGATGTTGTTAATAGGCCTGTAAAACAAACCCACAAATAAAGAGCTACAAGAACACAAATAGACAACTTTACAAATATGCAAATGCTTCTATACTAGCATATGCTTCTAAATACAAAGCTGGATACTATTTGATACCCAACTAATAAGTGAAACAGATTGTAAAAATATCTGCAGTTACTGCTCATTTTCTTAATGAATTTAGGTTGTTAGTCTTTCAATTTTCATTGACTTAGTAGATTAGTCACATTTTTTACTTAAGGAAGAGAAAAAATCTAAACAAATTGATTAATTGCTCTTTACCTCCAATCCTGCGCAGAAACAATTTAAGAGGAAATTATTTGTACTTCCTGCTGCTATCATATACATACTGACTGTTCCTGGAATGATTATATTAAAAAATAGAAACAATTTCGCAAGTACCATGCAAGCACATTTAGATTAAAATATTGTAAATACCCACAATCTATCCCAAAACAGTAACTACATCTGTTGATACTAGATTTCCGAGTAAAGCTCTCTGAGAGGGAAAGTCTAAAGCCTGGAGGACAGTGGTCACAGTGTCTAATAACTACCACTGCTGCCACATATCCAACAACCAAGCATTTCCTCAAGTCTATTCCACAACTCTCTGCTCAAGTATGCACGTCACACCTGGCCACAAAACAAGACTTTTCACAACAATCTGAAAAGTTACATCACGAGAAATGCTCCTCAATTGTTCATTTCTCAAATAATTTGTTTTTGATTGCGGCAAAAATCAATAATGAAAGACGTGAACCGGTGTATGAGTGGAGTAGAGTGAAGCTGACTATACAAGTGATCTGCTGAGTTCAGTAGAAGAAAAGTAGTCGCTCCTGGGCACTGCCAGAGAGGAGTCGCCAACCTCGTTTGATATTCAAATACTGAATAATGGCACGCACAAAAATCAGGAGACCTGCAACAAATATTTTTTCACACCAGAGAAAACCCAAACTACAAATAAATTTTATAAATGAAGTAAACATGCATTATTACTTTATCAGTTTTTAATACCAGAAACGATTTAAAAAAAACAAAGTATATTTCACACAAGAAATCAAGATAGCAATATATTTATATTTTATGCAGACTTTTACAGTGGGAAATGGCATTGACAGCTGGCAATGGGAGAGAGAAAAGTAGGAGAGGGAAGAGAGCACACAACATCAATTTTATTTTCATCCACAAATAATATAAATGGAATAAATAGTTTGATATTTAACATATTTTTTCTTTTCTTCTTTCGTTATTATCTGCTCTGAATACTGTGCATCTATTGATGTTTTGAAAGATAAAATTGTCAAAAATATTTGCCTACAAATCATGAGCATTCTTCAAGGAAAGAAAGCACAGAGTTTCAGTGTTCAGTGTTAACAGACCCACAATCTGAAATTAAGATAAAAATAATTCCTCATCTGGCACCATAATTTTTAGGAAAAAAGTTTATTTGCCAATTTCGTGGGTTATTATCACTCGCAGGTAATAAGAAATTAAATAATAGTGCCAATTTGTGAGAGTTTCCTACATACGCAATAAGAAATGCATTATTTTATTTGAATTTCTGACCAAAAATTGGTATTAAAATAAATATGCAGGATTGTTCCTTGTTGAAGTATTGTAGATATTCTCATTTGTGCTTCAAGCTTTTCAGATCATACAATTAGCTGAAATGATTTTTGGTAACTTGACACTTGCCTATAATCAGTTTCTAGCAATAATTTTTTTTTTAAGTTTAGTGATGATTTGGGGGTTAATTATGTATTATTGAAAAAATATCTTTAACCTTCTTAAAGTATAAATCTAAAATGAGCAACTCTATATTTTGTGGCATTCTTCTATAATGACAGCAGTTTTATAACAAGAGTCATTCACCCTTAATTCCAAAAATTAATGAAGGGAAATGTTCCTATAGTAATCATTAGTGCTATTTACAAATAAGGGATGTTCCAAGGGAGGAAATTATTTGAATTAAAAGTGTGCATTTTTTTACAAGTTCAAATCTAAAACAGCACAGATTTTCTACAAAGACCATCATATCAACCTCCTTTTCTGGATCACAGGTCAGGAAAGGAGACTACAACTGCCAGTTGGTCCCTACTTACCAAAAGCCATAATTAGCCACCACAGCCAACTGTTCTCACGTGATGCAAGATCTGTAGAGTGTTTAACAATCAAAGTCCACTTTGCCAATGAGAGTCCAAATCCAGACAAAGCACCATAACGAGCAGCAATGGTATGGCAGAAACACATCAACAAGAGAAATCCGATCCAATTGAAAAGAAACGCAACTGCAGAAAAATATTTAGAGAAAATTAGTACCAACAGAATGAATACTAAGTAGCACACACAACAAAAGGAAATACTAAGTCCTTCAGAATATTCTAAAAATACAATATTATTTAAAGTTAATTTAAAAAACTAGTCCTTTAAATAAAAACAAGCGACTCCAGACATTTGGCTCCTTCATCATTTTTTCACTTAGTTTGTAAATCCTGAGTTATTAATTTCAATTCACATGTAATTATACTATATCTAATTATGTATTTTCAATCACTCAAAGCACTTATGTTTATAATTGTAGGGTGTGGGGCAGTTACAAAAATAAGTCACACTAGCTTCTGCAAGACTCCCACTCTTCGTAATTGATAATTTCTAGATATTGATTAAGTGTGGCTTATCATGTTTCTATACTTTGATCTTTCTATACTGACCGATGACATTAGGTCATTGTTACACCTCCTACCTTACAAAATTGATCTTTTTAATTGGTTAGCAAACATTCTTCTCAACAGGGCTCCTGGCCTCAGAAATGTGCTTACCACTGTTAAAAAGATTCATTTTATAAGGAAGGAGATGTAACAATGACCTAATGTCATCGGCCAGTATCAGAAAAATCGAAGTATATATAGGTTTTGTTCATATTTACAAAGGGCTTGGGATAATAACAAGAGGCGGCACCCAAAATCAAGATCTTAACATCTATGGGGTTACTTGATAACACAGTCATAATATTTTTTATGTTTTGAAGTTTATGTTTATGAACTTTTTTAGACAACCAATCAAATGAAATAAACAGAGTACTATTTGTCAGAAGTTTAAATGAAAGAACAAACTACTTCTTAAGATTTTACATTCACATTATTCAATTGCTACAGAATCACCGATAAACAAAAAGTCTCTTTCTTTTAAATGCATAACTGCTTTTTCAAAGGAGGGAAGGAAGAAATTTTTCCTTCCATTAAGTATCATTGTTGGTCTTCAACAATTTATTCCCTCCTATTGATTTTGGGAAATGATCAAGTAAAATTACATCAATGAAGCCCAGTCTTACATTATCCAAAAATTCAAGAGATTTTATTTAAAATGATTTAATGAAATGTCATTGCACATTGTTGTTTAACATTTATCTAAGAAGAAGAAGAATATTCTCATTATAATTCATTAAATATTAACTCCTCAATTATATTAAATAAAAATCATGTGGCCACTGATGAGAAAATTAATGTAAATCAATAACAAAAGTTCCTAGTTTCATATTCTAGTTATGTTTTCTGTAACCCTAATTTAGTCATTAACTACAGAAGGTATAAGCCAAAAAAAGGTAAATTACGATCTTTTACAACTCAATGAACCAAAGTTTATACATTACTAATCTGTCTAATTTCTGATTTTAAATTGAACCCCATTACATTTACAAATGAAAACACAAGTTGAGAAAAGGGATTTGAAGTTAA